AACAAGATTGCTCGCTAACTCGCAAACAATATTCCATAAAAGTTCTATAGAATGTATAGAAACGTCAAAGTGATCCGATGCCAGCGCTGCGGCGAGTAGTTCGCGGAACTGATAATATTCAAATCAACCGTTAAATGCGTAAACGAAGATACACAATGAAGTGTTACGTCTGTTTGTCTGTGATATGGGTTTGGCGATTTGTATTCATCTCGAATGAAAATTCGAACTTTGAGCTTGGTACGTGCCATCAACTTCTGCACAAGCTGCTGGTTAACCTCACCGGTTGCTTTTGTTTTTTTTTCAGTATCTGGCCATCCTTAGCCATTTCATCCTTATCCTTAGCCATTTTTCCATTCTTCTTCAATTTAGCCACAGACAAACAGACATAACACTTAGAAGAAAATTCTTCAAAAAATATCGTCAAGCGTATTTTGCATGCGCACAAGCACCATCTATCATCCACATTCCCAAGCATTGTTTTGCAACCGGAGCATCCCTCGTTCATGCTTTTTTTTCACTAGTTGGTTTTCCCTCGTTCTGTCAACGCGTCAGCTGTGTTGAATAAAAACAAAACAGATGGAAGTCAGTGATGTCGGGTCTACGAAATTTTCCGAAGTTCTCTAGAATTGATTGAATCCTGCAGAAATACGGATCCGTAGGAAAAATTCACAGAAGCTAAGACTTTTATTTAGGGATTTGTTTTGTTTGCTAAGTGTGCTTTTTCTTTTGCTGGAAAAAAGTTTTTGAACGAGGTAATGAATCACTTATTAGTGCCCTTTCTACCACCGCTCATCACTTTGCACACAGAAGAAAAAAAATACGTTTCAATCAATGATATTCCTGGTGAAGTATTGAACGTGATTTGTTCTCGAATTCTATATACATCGTACAACGTAATATAAGGAACGGAATGACTAATGTGTAGCAGTTTTGATGTAATATCCAACAACTTTTTTTTCTGTATTCGTCAGATGTGGTATGTGTCTCCGGTGGGATTCCGTGACATTTTCAAGAGCTGACATCTACTAGCTATATGTGAAAAAGAACTGGCATCACTGATAAAATTAAAATGTGGTGGCTTGCTCAATGCTTCAGTGGCGCCACCATGACAAATGCAAGCACATTCCCAACTAAAACATTATTTGCGATGAATGTGATTGTGAGTGTTATGTCTGTTTGTCTGTGGTTTAGCTTTGATGATTCCCCAATACATTTCGATTAGGCGGAAATCAGGAGACTTTGGGGCGGTTGATCAATTTCACAATGACGTCTACTCCATTATCGCGAAGCCACTGTTACGCATTTCTACTGTAGTGGCAGCTCACCAAATCTCGCCAAAACTTGACGGCGCCCGTTGGGACCTAATGAACGGCAATACACGTTTTTCAGTTGGTGTATAACTGTCCGTTCATATTGTTGGTTGTGATGAAAATCGGAGTCTTCTGCAGATTCCATGCCTGTCTACTGTACTACGCTTCGACGCCTTGATTGTACATTCCTTGAAACGTTTCAGCACTGCACAGACGGTGGTTTTGCTCATTTTCAACTCCTTTGCTCCTTTTAGTATCTTGTGTGCTCTTTTTTTTTCTTCCATCGCGTGGCAATTCAAGAAAAATATAAACTTTTTTTTAAATTGTTCACAGGATATGAAGAGAAAAACATTGTAATAATTTTTTATCAAAAGATTTCAGAACCGACCACTAGCAACGCTGTAACGGATTAAAAGAAGCGTACAGATTCTAAATTGGCAGGGCCTTAGAAGTTACATAGGAAATTAATTCATTTCATAACAAATTATTTAAATTAATTATTTTCTTGCTTTTACCATACGCTTTAAAAAAAAAGTATCATTTAATTGAACTTTTGTTCACGAGACGTCTTTGCCCAAGAGCTAGGAAAGATTTCCTAGAGTGATGAAAATAATTGGGGAATACTAGAGAAAGTACCTAGATGCATTTTGAGAAAGCGCTCAGATGATTCTAAAGAAACTCAAAAAATCTTGTCCAGGGCTAAAAACGATTCATATATAAAATATTTAAAATCCTAGACACAGAAAAGTTTCAGATTTGAGAAATTTAAGGTTTAAGACATAGAATTTGAAAAATTTATAATTCTCATGCTAAGAAGAGATTTTAATGTCTAAGTATACGGGACATTTTAATTTCTAAATGAAAATAAATCAATTGGCTGTGATAATGGATTTTGGCCTTTAACAAATTTTTTCATAATCATGAACCCAAACAAATTTCTGAAACTTAAGGACATTCAAATTATAGCTCAAAATAACCATTTTCAAGAAGCAGTCAGCAATCAAATGATATCAAATATTTTAATATGTTTTCAAAAGTCAAAATATGAAATGTTTTCAAAATGTCTGCGGAAACAAAATGTCTTCACATAAATTCAAATGTCTTCAAAATGAAGACATGTCCTCAAATCTGGTATACATGCTTGCTCGTCCTGTTCTGTGTGACAGTTTCTGTCGTTGGGTTTGAACGGTTATAACGGCATCGACTCTATCATAACTGATGTGTTGTGATAGGAGGGGCTCAGTGTCCTTTGAGCGGCCGTTTTTGATTACTGAGCAGAACATCGTGTGTTCAATGCCAAGCTCCTTCATATTGAAGAGTTTTAGAGTTACACTACTTGCTCGTCATGTGTTGGTTGTCATCGTCGTCGCTTTCGATTATTACAGCAGCAACTCGATCAAAAGTGGTGTATTGTAGTAGAGGGGTTCATTGGCCTTAGAGCGATTTATATTAGAGTACCGTTTTTGCTTACTGCGCAGAATTTCGTGGGTTTGACCCCAGCCTATTTAAAACTTTCCGAAAATCTCCAATATTTTTCCAGACTTTCAGAAATTGTGCTCAAACTAAATATTTTCAATATTTTGAATAATTAACACTCCGCATACGATGTCTCCGAAAAATGTGTAACGGCAAGTTAGCAATGGCATAACTTAGCCATTCCTTGATGAATTTCAAAAATTGTGGTACTTCTAGAATTCCTAGGGTCTGTAGATTATTTTGATTGTAAAAAGATTAAAAATAGGGTCGTCAACTTTATTTAAAAGCGAAAAGAGTCGTTACACATTTTTTAAAGGAGTGTTTATGAGTTTTGCAAGTGGCCTAAGATCCATAAATTAGATGAATGGGTACAAATGTTCATAATTAGCAAGAATACAGTCATGGTTCCAATATATGGATCCTGGAGGCAACGGAACGGTCCTCCGGAAGGTTCGGAAAGTGATTTATCCATGAAACTGATTCTAGAGCTACGAAGTTTTTTTTTTCGAAAACACTAGTAACTGTGATATAAGAAATAATTTAGTGCCGTGAAATAAACATGGTCCCGGATGGCCATGAGACCGTTCTCCTGAAGATCTGAAAGATTCTTAAAAGTGGTCCATCCATGAAACTGATCCTAGAGCTCCGCGGTTTTTTTTCAAAAACATTAGGAAATGTGATTTAAGAAAAAGGTTGGGGTCGTGTCATAAACATGGACCCAGAACATGGCTATGGAACTATCCTTCGGAAGATTCGGAGCATTGGTACAATTGGTTCATCCATGAATCTGATTCTAGAGCTCAGCAGTTTTTTTTAATCTCTTGGAACTGTGATATAAGAAATAACAATAGGTCGTGAAGTAAACATGGACCTGGATAGGCATGAGACCGTCCTCTGGATGATCTGGAACATCTTTAAAAGTGGTAAATCCATGAAACTGATCCTAGAGCTCCAGAGTTTATTTCAAGAAATGTTAGGAACTGCGTCATAAGATTGAATTTGGGGTCGTGACATAAACATGGACCTGGATAGCCATTGGACCGTCATTCGGAAGACCCGGAACATCCGGGTTTATGTCATGAACCCAAATTCTTTCTTATATCACAGTTCCTAATTTTTTCGAAAAAACTGCGGAGTTCTAGGATCAGGTTTATGGATAGACCACTTTTACGAATGTTCCGGAACTTTCAAGGACCGTTCCGTTATCTGCAGGTCCCATATATAAGAACCATGGCTGTATTCTGGCTAATTATTAACATTTGTACCCATTAATCGAAATTATGGATCTTAAACCACTTGCAAAACCCGAAACACACCTTACGATTTTTTTTTAAATTCATCAAGAAATGGCTAAGTTATGTCATTGCAAACTTGCTGGTACGCGTTTTTCGGAGGCTTCGTAGCCGGCGTAAAGTATTTTACCCACCGTATTCGGAGTGTTAATCAAGCTCGGTCATATGTGTAATAATTCAGGACGTAAAAAAATAAAACAAGATTAAAGGACTCAACCAAATCGTCAAGTATCAGGGGCTCAATATTTGTATGCTTTCAAGACGTTGAAAAATTAAAAAACCTTGCAAGTAGGGGAAATGTATGTAATGTCGGCCTAAGTGTCCCTAATTTGGGTCCATACATAAATTCAGTAATCGACTAAATTTTCAATAGCAACCAAAAATATCCATTAATACCGTTCATATAGATACAATTGATAAATAGTAGATTTTTAGTGATGGGCCCAATCTTAGATCCATAGGCCAACATTAGAGCCATTTCCCATATATAAATATTTGTAATATTCCAGGATTTGAGAAACTCTTCAAGCTACCGGGCTTGGGCAAATCTCCAAGCATTACGAGAATTGCACAATCATTGAACACCACATGCCAGTGCTCCTATTCAACGGAAAGGATCGAACAATCGGATGACTCATCTAACTTTCGGAATGTGCACACCAACCAGCGGTGTTTCTATAAAATTTTGATTGTTGCTCAGAAAGCCGTGCATTTGAAACAGTTCGCTTTCAAGCAGTAATCAAAGTCAAATAAAGCACCAAAGCACCAGGGTGTCACTGTGACCAGGGTTTGATCATTTCTAGACTGTGATCTCTTCGTGGCAAAATCTCTCACCCGTCGAGAAAGCTGCGCAGTGAGTTTTCCTCGATTCAGTGCTCACTTTGGGGAAAATTCGCCAAACACGCCAGTTAGTCTCGGTCAGTCTATCGTCGGAGACGAAGCTCGATCCACTCGTACATCCACTAAAGTCGCGTCCGTTTAGATAGTCTAGACACATGATGCGGATCGTTATGGCGTCCGTGGCATCTTGGAACAACAGCAGTGAGCGAGAAGCATAAACATCGTCATCGTCAACGTGAGTGGCCGTCTACCTTCCACCATCCCTTCGGCGTTTGTCAACGTGTGGAAAACATTCTCGCAGAGATCGCGGTTTTCTGAAGTCGCCAAGATCGCGGAGCGCGCAGATCTTCTTCTTCCGCCACACGAACACATGCTCTCGCAGCAGAAGAAGAGCACGCGCGCGTTCCTACTCAGCCGACCGACGTAGTAGCTGAAGCAATAGTAGTAGTGGTGGTGGTGGTAGTTCTCCAGGCCACCAGAGACTAAAAATAGTACAATACGGCCTGGATTTTTGGGAGATGTCAAAGTAGCTCAGCGCGGCTCGGTGTTCGGTTGCCCAGCGGTACTAGCCTGCATTGGCACTTTTTTCGGCCGATCTATTTATTGCAGAACGTGGTGATCGTCGCGACGGACCGTCATCTCTTGTTACGCCAACTAGTCGGAGAAATTGTTCAATTGTTCCGTTTGGAGACAAGGGCAGTCATCAAAATCAGCTGCGCATCGCTTCGACAGGATCCCTCGACCAAAGGTGATAAAAGTGTGTGTGTGTGTTTGTCGTACACCCCCCAGTAGTGATTTGATCGTAAGGACTGCTGTCTTATCCTTCCACTATCACCAGTTGGTCCCTCTCTCCCACCCATCCGTCACAGTGTGAATCAAGATCGTAGTGCAAAAGAGACCGAAGAGAATGTATTTATGTGCGCGCAAAGAAGAAGCAATGTCGATACACATGTGGGTCGGTCGCGAATCCTGAGCTCATTAGCCAATTAGTCACCGATCAACTATGCAAAGATAAGTGCGTGCGTTAATCTTTTCACGTCCTTTAGTAGATAACTAGTTTACGGTTTTCGGTCGAAGTGAATTTGACGTGCAATTGAAGAGAGACGATGTGAAGTGAACAGACTCCAAGCGATTCTTAAACCACCCACCATTACCGAGCAAATTCACGGTGAGAAATGTCAAAGCGAATGCTCAATTTTCCAATCCAAGAAGACGGAGAAGGAAAAACCTGAACATTGACCACAGTGAGAGAGCGTGTTGTAGAGTAAAAGATAATTGAATTTCCTAGTACCGTACCAGCGCAGCCAGCAGTGTCTTTCGGGTGACACTTGATTTTTGCTCTTAATCTTCAATTCAATACCAGTTATAAATAAATTTCGCTTTTACTCAATCAAAAAACGACAGCACCGAGCCGTAACAAACGGTGGAATCCATCGTAATACATCGTATCGCAAGTAATTGCAAGTCGCAAAAGTACATTCCATAAGATGAGAAAATAACAACAACAACAATAACAAAAATAATATCAATAATACGGCCAAAGCATAAATGTAAAATTCAGGCAAGCTGCTTCCGAATCATTTTGAGAACAATTAAAATCTTCTCCCGGCTACCCGCAGCAGATGCACAGCCATAGAAAGTAGGCAAATGTCTTTTCCTTTGCCACAGTACAGAGCGGAATAAAATTATATGGACAAAGAATGATGAGATTAAATTATCTAGCTGTATTTAATCTTGTTTAATTTCTATTGTTTTAAATTGAATGGTGAATTGATGAAACAATGCATCGATTCGATAATCCAAAGTTTAGAACATTTTACAATTTCTCAAATCATTTATAACAATATGTAATATGCATGATATATACGTTCGTAAAACAGAATATTTATATAGAAATATAGGACAGTGGCTCTGAATAAGCTACAATTACAACGTTCGAATACTGAAATATGCTTATACTTGAAGATTTTAAGGTTTTAAATTATATGTTGAAGTCAGTGGCGTCGCGTCCACATGTGCAACCTGTGCACGACACATGTGCAAATAATTAAAAAAAAATGCGTTTAGATTTTTATAGATTTGATGGTCACATTATAGCTGTACTTCTTTACGCCAAACCACAAGTGACCATGAATACACTATTTTATAGTGTGGCTCAATTAAATCTTCGACCTTATTTGCTTCAAAAAGGATTCAGTTCAGTTCGGATGGTCTTCCTAATCCCCATGACAAAACTCGTAGTGCTCCTAAAACCGAGCTTTTTTGGGTGGCGGATGGCAAGTTTGTGAATGGTTAAATGCCTGATGTAAGCCAAGCAGATCTTCTATCACCTCTTAAAACATACCACAAATTTCCCACAATACTTGGCGGTTTGCACCACTAGTTGTAATTGAAACTTTCAGCAGTTACGCGTCAAACGGGAGCAACACGGAAACAGCAGTCTGGTACGCTTTGGACGTTATCATACTTACAGACCGGTTTGAATGTGTGAGTTTAAATTAGAAGAACATTTGTGATGTATGGGTGCCCAAAGCGTGCATTTCTCGCTGTGCACTTGGATATCTGATTGCAGGCAAAGAGAGTAATGGAGAAAGAGAGCGCAAAAGCTCGCTCTAACTCTCTTGTCAGTTGTAAATCTCTCAATTACCGATGGTTGCGCCGGTACGCCTGTCAAAACTTATGAGCTTCCCCTGGTTCATTCTGATAGTATTGTTCTGATGAATTAAGAGTTGATTAATAAGTTTGCTACCCAGAGGACTTCATGAATTTTCTCTAGATTTTGACACTGTTTTGTATCAAAAAATGTTTTCGGAAGTGTTTGACGGATATTTTTCATTACACTTCAGTCGAAAGAGTTAGCCTTGTGATAAAAACGAGAATTTGCTAAGTTTTGCAATTCCTCCTACGTCGGTTAGCGCGAAAAGGGCCATGCAAGCTTTGTTGTTGTAACTGCAAGGCTCTTCAAATGTTACGTTAGGTAGTGATTTATATAGTAATTGAGAATATGTCCCTCGAATTCATGGAGCATTGCAAAATAAAACAAAAACTAATATGTGGTGGTAAACTATAACGAACAAAGTTTGGTGCACAGGTAAACAAATGAGGCACGCGACGCCTCTGGTTGACGTACAAAGTCTGATTTTTGCAACTAGACCAAGCAAGCAAATTTTTCCTTTTGTAGTATTGCAGTTGCACCCTATGAAATAGTCATGTAAATTTCGGTGCCCTGAGACCGAAACATGTAAGTGGGCACATAAGAATCATGTAAAAGGAACGAGAAATGTAATTCAACCGAACACAGTTTTCATCGAGTTGTGTATGTTTCCGTTTTGAAACACATGACATGTTTACGTTCCATGAGTTACGCCGAAGATGAATTACGTCAAATGTAAAAAATAGTGTGTGGCTACAATGGTCCTTAAAATAACATCCCCCAGTAGTGCTTTAATTGCTGGAAACCTTATTGCTACTTCGAGCATGTTTTCTTATCGCCCAATGTGTTTCATAATATCAATGAATTAGGCATTTAAAATAAGGTCACACTTAGAACTTTTTGTAGAAATCTGTTTAATTTTACCGAAATCTCGTGTTTACCGTTCGGTAGATAGTTCGGTTATGTTTTGTATTACTGAAAAATCTGTAATTCTAATAAAATAATGGTTGTCACAATTACTGAAGCGTTCTGTGGTTTAACAAATTGTTTTGTAAAATTTTAATTAAATTTATTTTTATTTCGTCGAATCTTTCGGTATTATTTACAGATATGCTGTAAAAGCCTGCAATAAATTTTCCGAAAAAAAATACTTTTGTACCTTGTTGTGTACCTAGATTTACACATTTATTGAACTTTCTGCACTAAAATAATATTAAAATTAAAGCACACAACGCAAAAACTTCGATCCAGTCGTGCATAATTGCTTCACCACATGGCAGTTCCGGCGATGATGCAGTAAATTATCTGCTTAAAGTGAAAACCAAAATAATAAGGTGCACTGGGGAAAGTGTCCTCATTTTCTGATTAATTTTAAATGCTGCAGGGCATAGAGTATCATTCTATCTTGCCACACAATATACAAATTTATGCATTGGATGGCATAGAAAAATCTCAATTAATAACTTGGAAGTACATCTAGAACACTAAGTTGAGAGCAGGCAAAACGCTCGCTACAGAAGCGTAAAAAGCAACAAATTTGACAAAAAATAGTTAAAGGTTGTGCCCAAAGCACGACTGCATTGTACCCTGAGAGGATTTCCCGCCGTTTTTTATGAATGGAACGAGCATGAGCATGAGCATGATTGACCGCCCACGGTTGCTACACTGTTATTGCCAGACCAGCTGTAATTACACATAGAACCAATAGACGATGTTTGGGACTAGCAATCATCCTCAATGTGTATAAACTGGGGATCTCAAACTAGGCAATACCAGCGCCGGCCGCGCCCGAACACAGGTCAAGAAAGGAAGGAGTAGGAATGTGTTGACGTGACACTCGCTTTGATGGAAGCCGAGAACACCTCTGCACTTCCACGAGGAATCACTGGGATATTGGGTAATAGGGTTGGGTTTGCAGCAGAGTTCGTTTTGGTAAACGATAAGCTGAATTGATGTCCTAACCATCATATAACGCGAAGGAGCTTGAGATTGAGCCCACGGTATTCTGCTCAGTAAGCAAAAACGTTTGCCACGAGGCTGACGAGCTCCTTTTTAATCATCGAGTTGCTGTTATTACCATGTAGTCATGTTAACAAATAAAACGATTGAAGAATCTTGAATGTGGATGGGCTTGAGATTAGTCTTATGATGTTCTGCTCAGTAAGCAAAACCGGTTGCTCTAAGGCCACCGAGCCCCTCATATCACATTATAGCGTTACTCAAGTTTTTATAACTATTCAAACCCGGCACCGACAACGAAAAGTTTTACAAAATACACGATAAACAAACGATCTAACCATAGTCTAGTCTAGTCTAGTCTAGTCTAGTCTAGTCTACACATACACAGCCAGTACTTGAAAGAATCCTGGAAAATGATACATCTATCATTTTTCTTGTCATTATTAATGCCTGCTGCACATCAAGGATGTGAAACAAACAATAAAGCGGCCAGGCCTACTGTGTAGCGTTTAGTTAATTTTTGTGGAAGTGAATGTTTACCATGTCTACTTAATAAGTATAGACAGTGGTTAACATTTAATCCACAGGTAATCAAAGAGCGGGGACATACCGTACCAACCGCTCCGTATGCTGGATTTGAAAATAGGCTATATAAATCGTTGGGAGTGACAGAGCTAAGAAAGTTAATGTACACTCCTTGGTTGTCCGATCTCCTGGGATGGAACACAGGTATTTACCCCTTGTGTTCGAGCGAACAGTCCTCCCTCCGTACAAGCGTGGACGGCACCGCCAACCCACTGCCATCCCTCAATCGATCCAGCCGACCTCAGTTGAAGGACAACGGAGAGCGGTGTGCGGACGTAACCTATACGGAGGGAATGCTGTATTCGCCTAGGTTATAGCGCCCTTGCTCGCTACCATTTTCTTCTAGCGGTTGGGACCTGAGCACTAACTCTTGTCCTAGCCCTATATGGCATATGGTTATAGCGCCATTACTCGCTTTCTGAAAAGAGAAGAAGGGAAGGGAAGGAGAGGAAAAGGACTTGGGAAAAGGAAATGCGGAATTCCTTTCCTCATTAGTATTTGTATCGTCAACTTTTATGAAAACTATATAGGGGAAATGTTGGCTTCGGCAA